TTAAATTTAGAATTTTAGATATTTATTTTAAAACTTTATAATTAATAAGTTGGTAATTTTAATTTTAATTTTTTAATTTTAATTATTTAAAAATTAAAAATTAAAAATTGTAACTATATTAAATAGAATTTAAGTTTTATGCAATGTGGACGCCCCGCCTCCAACGGCACATAGCCTATGCAGAGACACCGCCTCCTATGATACTTGGCCACCTATATATCTAGGATGTTGAGTAAGCTAATTGGTCTAGAAAGAAGTTTGCATTAAGAAAATTTTATCAAAAAGAGATTTTTTTGCAATCCAATACATATCACTGGATTAGGAAGACCCTGATAATGGAGAGGGTCTTTCTACCCAATGTTAAGCTTGTTTAATTATATTTTTTTAAAATATTTTAAAATAATTTAAATGTGTAGAAAATAAAAGTTTAGAGATTTAAATGTGCAACAAATATTAATTTAAAAATAAAAAAATGTGAATAAAACAAAAGTATAGGACAAAAAAATGTCAGCTGTATAGACTTAACCACTAAAACTTACCAAAGAGCTAAAAAAATATTATTTTCATAGTTAAAAGACAAAAAAGAGAGAGTAAACAATACATCAAAAACTAAAATTGTTCTAAATTAAAAATTTAATAACTAAATTGGCGTTTAACCAAAAAAGTTGTAGTTTTTGTCCAGCCCAACTCTAAAAACGGTTATCTTTATTGGATCGACGTATCGCTAATAGTGGGTTGGACTTTTAAAGACTACACAAGAGGGACGCTCAATTTCTTCTCGGCTTAAGTTAAGCAGGGGCCCTATCTATAACGCTAAACACGAACAGAAATTAGCAGCGGTGTCGCCATGAAATCAAGAATATGGCAACCGGTAACCCTCCCAACCCCATTAAAACCACCCAAAAACCAGGTCTTCTTCCACAACTCAAGCATTGCTTGCCGGAGAATGCCACCTCCGATTGACTGGATCAGGTCTGATGGGGTCGAGAGGTTCCGAGAGTACTTGAAAACTCTCACATCCAGCGGCATCCGCAATTTTAATACGATGGTGGATAATATTGTGGAGGATTCCTTGAGGGAACAGGTTCTCGAAATACCATTGGTAACAATAACCAAAGATGACTTGGAGATTGTGATTGAAGGGGAAATTCATATAAATGTAATGGATCCTCTTTTAGCATCATCATTAGGGGATAATAAACATCTCATTTCTGCAGTAACCTGTTGCTTCAAAAAACATTTCCTTATTGGCTCAACAAAGAGGCAATATCTCCTTTTGGTAACTTGATGGAGAAAATCGTTTTCGGTCCGGGGTTTCATCAGTTGAAGGATACATATGATTGCGGTTGTCGTAAGTATGAATCTAACGGAATTCCTGATTTTAGAATGTTCAAAAAATTTGGATATGTTTGTGATAACATTTTCAAACATCCGAGTTTTTCATTCTATGCTGGTAATATCAACAAAATTACAGTTCCCTGGGGAGTGAAGTGTTGGCATTTCAAAATACGTTTCCATATACCGAGTGAGGAAGACACCAACGTGGGAGGATGTCAAGGCGTTTCTCAGTTTTTTAATATTCAGAAATAAGCTGAATGGGGAGAGATTGTACAAGCTGTTGAGGAGGAAAGGGGACAGAATCATGAAGGCTATTCATGTACTAAGGGATCATTATAAAAGATTAGGTGATAAGGATGGTTATGATAGCTGCTGGAGTATGAACTACCAAAGCCATTCCTATCAAATAAAAGACTGAGCTTATATTTCAGTTCAGTAGAGTTTATTGTCAAGAATTGTGATTTCTAATTCTCGATTGCATTAGTACAACAAAAACCATTTGTTGGCAATCAATTTGTACATTAACATGGGTGAAGAGACTCCTATATAAAAGGTGGAACATGAAAAATAAGTGATTTATATATGTATGTGGATAGGACAATGATACATATGCTTTTTTACTCAACATATTTTATAACAAGTTTATTAAAAATTTATTATTTTTAAATTTAAATTAATGATTAGAAAACTTAAAATTTCAAATTTTAATAGTTGAATCAATATAGATATTAATAGGTGTATTGAATCAGAGAGTGTACCAATCATTTTTCATATGAATATCTCTGTGAATCCTAATAGATTAATCTTTTGGGTTCAATATGGTATTTTCACATGTTAGACCTATACTCCTAATACCACTAAGAGTTTAGATCTATTGATCCTTTTTATTTAGAGTTTTACTTATAATATTTATTTACTCATTCAATAGTATGATCGAATGCCAAATAATAATGTGCCAAACAAAAGTCATTATTAGGCACGCGATACTTCTTTTTTTTCAAAAATAATTGTTATTTTTTCCAATATAAATTTGTTCTAAACTATTTTTTTTTATCTTTTTAAGGTAAATAAATATTTTTTTCTACTTTAACTTTTTCATTATTTATTTACTTTAATTAATCATCTAATCACCAAAAAAGCCCTCTTTAGCTTTTTTTATTAATAATGTTTATTGATGATAAAATATTACAACATAATATGACATAATTTTTATTTTAAAAATGATATAGTTATTTTTTTTTATGTACCAAAGAAGATATAGTTATAATGTTATATAAAATTGTAAATTTATATGATATAAAATTGTAAATTTATATGATTGGTTTTTTTATTTAGGAATTCACTTGTAATATCATATATATTTACTCATTTAATTATACTTTATAATTATATAAATATTATAAATAGAGCATTGCTAATTTTTAATAATTCTCTTAATTTGAATGGAATGCATGAATGGATATACATTAAGAACAATATAAAGTTTTCAAGTTTAAGTGTATTATTACCATAAAAAAGAAAAGAAAAGAAAAAAAAGCTTCGGAGGACCATGTTGACATCTAATCAATCTTTATTATTATTAATTAATAGCGTTTCCAAGGTAATCTTAATGAGCTTAGTTGGCCCAACATGGCAAGCAGGAAAGACGTTTTATGTTCACGTTTCTTTCAGCTATATGCTTCTAGTGTTTTTGCCATTAAAAACTACAAGAAAGTACCCCTAATCAATCTTAATCATCCATCAGTTGCTTCGCAGATGATTTGCTATGAGTTTAGGTCCCTGCCCATGATTTCCTTTGTGCATTTCCTATTTACACCTTCTTTTACTATCCAAGAATTGTCAGAAACTACCTTTAGATTGCTTGCCCTTTGCAGTTTGCACCCTTAGGAAATTTCAAGTACAAATTCAACAAGGCTACCTCAAGGAGTCATCGTCTGAAAGCAAAGGCAGAGTAGGATAAGGAACTTGAAGGCTGATGATGGCCTATAAGTGCAAAGTAAGACCCATCAAATTTCTTTGATTTCCAACCACGTTCTTGATACCTCAATGCATATTTTCAGCCACATAATGCAAATTCATTGGTAAGTTGGTTTTTGCGCATAGATAAAATCCCAGGTTTTTTAAAATTTTAAAATTTATGTGTTAACTTGTAATCAGAGAAGTAGGGTTTTTGTTGTACTAAAAAGAGGTATTCATGCTAAAGGAGGACAGTGTGGGTGTGCTAGGGCACAATCGAAGAGCATTAAGCTTAAGCACCATTGATCAAAATATTGTTATAGCATTAACATACCCTTCTACAATGAACAAGAGACCCTTATTTGAGTACTTTCTTAAACCTTAAGTTCAACTTTATGTTTCATTGCTCAAAGAAAGGGGAAAAAAAAAACTTAATTTCAACTCTACCTTATTTTAGTATTTGTTGACTAGTTGTCTGGGTGGGTATTTTTGGGGGGCAAAATTGAGAAAGTTCTATCTTTTTTAGCAAAGTTTTAATCTTTCATCAAGGACTCTTTTATTTTAGCCTTGGCTTCATTACTTTGAAGTGTATGGTTTAATGTCTTGAATATAAAAAGGAAGCATGAATTTCAGGTTAGGATAGATTTAGATTGATAGGAAGCAAGCATGGCTTCATTATTCTATTATTTTCAACATTTCATGTTAGGCCACTTTTCAGATTTGGATTCACTTTCCACATCTAGGTATTGCGTACATGTTCTGATGCCATTTGATTTTAATTGCATGATGTCTTAGAATGTGAAAAACTTGATGAAATTAGTAATGTTTAGTTTCTCTATGGTCTAATTTGTTGAATATGATCTCCATTCTCATGCCTCGTGGTTTAAAAGTCTAATATGCTTTAGACCAATTAAATGATTTAGTGTGTTTTCAAATTGCTATCTTTAGAGTTTGATTCAGAGACATTGATTTTTGTGAACTTATATTTTTTTTTTCAATTTAAATAGATGTTCGTGGCCTAGATGGAACTTTTATTCTTCCATTAAGAAGTACACCATTGAGGTAGTTCGTATGGTTATATTTGCTCTTTGCCTGGTAAAGATTCCCCTGCCATATCAACTATTTGATAAAATATATGTTTGAAATTATTGTTATATCTAGCAACTTAAATTTTTGCTTTCCAAGAATAAAGTTTAAGACTACAGCTCAATAAATCATTGTGAACAAATCATTGAAGTAAGATTTCTTTATACGTATTTATTTATGTATTCTTGAATTTCACATAAATAAATGAATCAATTCATGGACTTCCAATGTGTTTAGCAAAGGTCACCAACTCAGTAGTAGTTCCCTATAAGGTAATTGATAATACTCAGAATTGATTTTGATTTTCTCATTTTTCTGCTTTCAAGAGAAGGACTTGAACACCCCGAAACAAAGTATTATTAATTTGGCTCAACTGTGTTGTTTAGTTGCTGAAAATAGGTTGTAACTTATGTTAGATATTCAATCATGTAAGACAACTTTTAGATTTTGATAGAAAATCTAGGTATTGAATGATGATTTAAGAATCTAATGAATGGATGTGAATATCATGTTAATGCCTTACTCAAAATTGGTCTTGATGGATGAATTAAGGACTTCCTTTTGTTTTGTTTTTTTTTTTTTTGTTTTTTTTTTCTGTTTTTTGTTTTTTGTTTTTTGTTTCTTTTTTTTTTTAATGATTGTTGAAAGTAGAGTATAGATGAATGGTTACCCCCCTTAAGTTTCTAACCGTAGTTGTTACCCAAGAATTGTTAGGTGTCCTATTGAGTTTACAAAAAAAGAAATTATTGCTGTGTTCTTGATTAGTTAAATCATTTGTTTTACTTTTAAGAAGAGCTTTGATTTTTGTTTTTCAACAATTTACTCCTTATTTTATACTTTGATATTTTGCTTCCTTTTTTTCCAGTTTCTAAATGGTTTATTAAGCTAATTTAATGATTTGTTGATCAAATGCCAGCTTGATTGTATTAATCTCTTGATGAAGGGTGGTCGATACAAGAAGATGCAAATAAAGGTTATAGATATGATTTTGGGCTATGGGAATAAGCTTCATTCTCGAGTCTGTGGGTTTTATGTTCATTGGGTTGGCATCAAGGGCCCTTGAGTCTAAAGGTTTGTTAAGATCCATTCGCTCCTTAAGCTTGGGCTCAAGTTGGCTCTTGTCTTTACTTAAATTTTGGGCTTTTAACTATTTACTAATTCACTGGGTAGCTTTAGTCAAATAACCATGTTGTTTGTCAGTGTGAAGGGGTTTCAAACACTTGATCATTGTGGTAGATTGAATACTAGTCCACTTCGCATTAAATACTCTTGAATTCGAGTAGTTGGAGTTTGGTTGGGCTTTTGGGTCAGAGTTCCGATACCACTATTGTTACTATTCTTCTTGTAGAGAGAGCTCTCTTTAACGTCAATGCCATCGATGAAGAGTTGTTTTTCCTTTTAGGTTTCTATCTTCCCACCAGAAGTCATGGGTCATATTCATTAGCGGTCCGTTTGGGAACGCGAATTTAATGCAATGTATTTAAATTTGAGTCTTTTAAATTTAATATTATTATTTATTTTTACTTAAATAAAAAATAATTAAATTTAAATAAAATACATATATTTCACCAAGGTAATTCAAAAAAATAAAAACCATGTATTTCAATTTCAATTTCAATTTTGAATTTCAATTTCAAAATGGATTTCCTCTGCCCTCTCTCCTCTCACTGACGGTGATGAAGTCTCCGTCTGCCGCTGCTCTCCACCTTCTCATTGTCGGTCACTCAAACCACTCCTCGACCTGCACTCTGCAATCCCGAGTCCTTCGACTGGGCGAATTTCGACGCCCAGCAGGTGGCTTCGGCCAGCGTCGACTCCACGTGTACGGTGTGGGATG